CCCCACCACCACCACCACCAAAAAAAAGACCACATGGTGCACAAACACCAAAATCTTTTCTGCTATCTGAAAAATGTAGGTTAGCGATGCATGTGTGCAGTTACTACAGGGGCCCCTCTCCACCCTGAGTTGATGGTGTGGTACAGATTAACCAGACCCTGCGTGTCTATAGGAGTTTCTGTCTGTGTGTGTGTGTGTGTGTGTAAATCCAACTCAACTCACGTGCCTGTTTCTCTCCAGGGAACTAGGTGAAGTGCCACTCAGCTCCTTTTGAACCTAAGGCCATATGGCCCACAGTATGGGTCTATTCGACACACATAATGCTATTACACTACATGACAACAGCCGTGTGTGTGACTGTAGACTCTGAGGCAGACTAAAGGAGGCGTTTGTAAATAATTAGGATGAATTTGTCAAAAACTCGCGACCGCTTGTGGCTGATGAGAGTAAATGTTTCCGTGTGCTCCTCACCTCGCCGTCGTGGTGCTGGCAGAAGTTCATGCGGTCTTGGAACAGGGACAGCAGGGCGAAGTTGTTCTGCAGGGACTGGGCGAGGGACACGGACACCCCAGGCTGGCTCGTGTTGCTGTTGACCCGGCTGAGGTGGAGGCTGTCTCCCAGGCGCTCGATGAAGTGGTCTTTGGTCAGCCGGACCCTCTGGTGCGCCCGCACGCAGTTGTCACAGAGGTACTCCTGGCAGTCAAGGCAGTGGGACGTGGCTGGGTTCTCCTCATCGCAGGAGCTGCACTGAGGCTCTCTGATGTGCTGCGGGTGCAAAAGGCCACTGTGCGAGGGGAGGAAGCCCGAGGAGCCTCCTATCAAGCCTCCACGGTGGTGGTGGTGGCCGTTCTTATTCTGGATCTGATCTTCCGAGCTCACCACCACGTCCAGCAGGTTGCTGAAGAGGAAGTTGGTGGAAGGCAGGGAGTCCACCCCGGCCTCCGTGATGGAGACCTTCTGGTCGCAGGTGGGGCACCGCAGCTTCAGGGGTTCGTTGGGGCTGCGCTGGCCCTCCAGGCACTGCCTGCAGAAGGCGTGCAGGCAGGGCAGGACGTGCAGCCGCTTGGAGGTGTGGTGGGTGGAGGAGGTGGAGGTGTGCGAGGAGCTGGAGGAGGTGGAGGAGCTGGAGGAGATGGGGGCAGAGGATCCGCACAGCTCCTTGCAGAGCGGACACGTCTGCAGGTCAGAGTCTGGAAATGAAGCCATCTGCAGCAAAACAAGGCTCAGTTCACAACACAGTTTGAGGAACTCATCTGAGGTCAGCCCGTCGTGTTACACAGAACTAATGAGGTAGACTGGTCAGGTGCTAATAGACTTTAAATAACATACAAGAGAGGTAGTCGGGTCTCTAATCTAAGAATATAATCATCTCATTACTCAAATTAATTAAGAAATACGCCACACTGTGGGTGCTTCCAGAATACACGGGGTTTAGTTAAATTAAGCCGGAGCGACACCGGGTCAATGTGGAAGCCGTGGAAGCGTCTCTCCTCCCCCACCGAGCAGGCGACATGACTTCAGGGCTCAGCAGCTCCTACACAAACACGCAAGCCCTTCTGTCGCCATGTTTTCTGCTCTCTACTTATAGATATTAAAAAAACAAAAACAAGTGGACTCCACTGGGGTCGGTCCAGGCGGCAGCCGACGCTCATTCGAACAGAGCGCGTGAATTATTCATCAAAGCAACGACCTCACAGGGAGCTTCGGGTCACCGTGGCATGAAAAAAAAAAAAAAAGACCACCAAGCCCAGTCTTTTTTTAAAACATCAGACAGGACGTCTATCGCTTGCCTTTAGAGAGCGAATTCATTCAGTCCGCTTCCCGGTCCTCCTGCTCCCGTTCGGTCAGTCCCTGCGTGGCTCTCTCTCTCTCTCTCTCTCTCTCTGCGTGGAGGAATGCGCAGGTTTCCAACGAGAACAACCGCCTCGTTCACCTGCTAGTTTTCTTCACAACAAAGCGAATAAACACAGCGCGTGCTCTCTCTCGATCTCTCTCATCTTGCGCGAGCTTCAGCTCCTCGAGCCGCTCTTTTCCTACAGAGAGGCAAGTGGGGGGAAATGAACTTGTTTCCGTCCAGAAGGACTGAAGAGAGAAAGAGGGGTGTGTGCACCGAACGCGCGCTCCCGAAAGGGGTGTGTGGTCACGTACGGTCATGTGTGCGAGCGCGCGACCGACCCGGGCCGATTGGTCACGCACGCTGTAAAAATTCACGTTGTTTCCAGTTTGTTCCAGTGTTTCAGACCACTTTCATCTGTTTTACTCCTCCACTCATCACACTTTCAGCTTCAGATTATTAGGAACATAAACATAAACGCGTTTGACTTTATTCAAAACTATTTCCATCAAATAAACCCAGGTGAAAAAACATAATCTGCTTAATTTAAATAAGATGCATTTTTCTGAAATACGTCTTTAAAATGTTATCAGTTGGATGTGCTCATTACGATTATATATTCAAAACTTTAAATAGGCTACATTTTAATAAACATGCTTCGAATATTTTGTTTTAAAATATATTTTGTTACACTTTATAAACAGCCTATATATTTTGTACTTTACAGTTTTGTTTATTTGTTTATTGATTAGGATCCCCATTAGTTTCCACCAAGATGGTTACTAATCTTCCTGGGGTCCAACTCATATAACATACAATATTTATACAACACATAAAATCATGACATAAAATATACATGAAAATAATCAAATTCCACATTTTACAAAATTACAACCATAAGCCTAGTTAAAAACTAAATAAAACCAATAATAATAATAATTACACAATAAAATTTAATACAAATAAGATTTCAGTGCTCTTTTACAAGAACATGTGCTTTTTAGATATCTAATGTTTTTATGAAATTTATTCCATTCTTGAATTGCTCTATAAACTACTGATTTTTGTAGCAAGTTTGTTCTACGGTTATTTACAATTTTGTTTCACAAGAGTACCTAGTAAGATAATTATGTATTTGATCAGAGTAAATGAGATTTTCATACACTGATTCAGGCCTCCTAGTAATTATAACTTTGTTTATAAATGTAAGTAAATTACACTGCACCCTAACCTTCAGTAATGGCCACAGTAAAGTACGGTGCGTTTCTATAATGCTTGCATGAAATGGGCATCTTAACACTAGGCGAGCAGCCTTATTCTGGACTACCTGCAACCTTAACAAATCTGATTTATTAGCAGCAGACCATAAAACTGAATAATAGTCTAAGACAGGACTAAAGATCGCACAACCTCTGTCAGAACTGATGGAATAACAAAAGGTGAACATCTTCTGACAACAGCAATACCTTTACCCATTTTACTAATTATATTGTCAATATGATGAGACCATGACAAGTGATGATCCACTGTGATGCCAAGTACAGTTGAATTAAATATATTACTAAAACTGTACTTTGTATAATCTTTTTTAAATACACTTTGCATGTATTGTAAAATATATTACAAATAAACAGCATATATACATCCAATATTTTCTGCAGTTGTACTTTAGATAGTATTTTGAAATAGATTTTTTAAAATCATTTTCAAAATAAATCAGTTTTAGGCTACTTCGTGTATTAGTGTCTAATTATATTTGAATGAAACACTTTATTTTATGCTAACAAATTATGAATGTAGATTTGTATTAATACATATAGAATTAACACTTAGTGTTTCTGCCAATTTTAGCAACTGGATTGCTAATTTTTAGCATGTAGCTACTAATTAATTTTTTTATTTTTTTATTCAGTTTTAGTCATTGTCAGTTTTAACATCTAGTTACAGATTATTTAGCTACATAATCTCTTCATAATACATGACTTCAGAATACAAATAACTTAAATAAAAGTATTAATGTGAAGAGGCAGTGCACTTCATAAAGGCTATAAGTATGATTCATTTAGCAGGGGTGGGCAGTCCTGGTGCTGAGGGCCACAGCCCAGCAGGTTTTATGCTTTTCCCTGCTCCAACACACCTGATTCAGACATTGAATTACCAAGTTCTGCAGTATGGAGGACTGACACTGACATAACTAGAAAAAAAAAACAAAGTAGAAATATACAAATGGACCAATAAATAAATTCAATTAAAAATGTGCCAATTAAATTTAAAAAGGAGAGCTTAACCTCACGTTTTGTAATTTAATTGACCTTCATATTTATTTTTCCAACTTAGTTCCAACTAATAATGTGTTTTTGCACATAATTTACATTTTACTGTTTTCACTGTTTTTTAATATATAATTATTAGGGGTGCAACAATACATGTACCCGTATTGAACCGTACCGAACCGTATCAAACAGAGCTGTATTGAACAATACAGATTTTAAAAAATTACTTTATCAACTTGTCTTCTGAAGATGCTCTGTGTTAAAGGATCAGTGGATCTGTGTTCCACTACTCCACCTGAGCTGCAATGTTGAGCGC